TCGCATATCTCATAGTTCTTTCAATTTATTGTAAAGCATAATGCAGTAGGAAATGTAAACAGTTCAAACCCTTGAAATAATTCTGATAATTCTTCTTTACGAATATTCAATTCTGAAATCAAGATTTCCTTGTACTTCTCATAGATTTTAGCTTCTTTCATAATTAAAAAGTAGTGTAGTAAAGTAGCAAGAAACTTGAATTCTGCTTTTTAATCTACAAATCTCAAAATTATTCTTCACAAAATGATTTGGCTTTCTTTAAAAAGATCAAATTTTAAAATATAATATGAATCAAAAGCATATGTGAAAGGCTAAATTATTTTAGTACATACAAATGAAAAGTTCTCAAATCTGTCATAAAGGCAACACAACTGTCCCCATACAGTAAGAAGATTTGTGAAAGTAGATTCCAGAGCTCATCCAAGGCTTCACTGATACCAGTAGCCCTGCCTAAAACCCATTTTAGTGCTCAGCCAAACTAGGTAATTTTATGCTTTCAGGCATAAGTGGTTCTTAAACCACCTTGAGAATTGAATGTATCTTAAATGAGTCATTATAGCTAATCTGAAAAACAATCTTCTCCTTGGTACCAGCTATTTTGGTGATAATAGACGCTTGATTACCTTTGCACAGTGTGATTAAGGCTAAATTGGACACTGTTGAAGCAGGAGGGACAAGACTGCCAAGAAAAGCAATAGAAAATAATCACTTTTTCTTTTTTTTCTTTCACCTGAACAGAAAATAAATAGGCTTTGCAGAGCAGATGTTCAAGGACAAAAATTTGGCTACAACTTTTAGGCCTTAGTTGCTATTGTCCTTTTGCCAGTTTTTTTGTACAGAGGAGGTAAAAAAAATAGGCTGCATAAAAAAGTCTTAATATAATAAAATCTTTGTCTGTTTGGGAGACTGATTAATAAAATCCCAGAACACAGAGGTGTGCTAGTGATAGAAGCATGAACATTTTTTACTCTGCAGACATAAGCAATATAAGGGTGCCAAAACCTTTGTCATTATCCCATCCTAAATTATGTGGGAAATGTGCCTGTTCAGTCCTGTGAATCCTTACTTCACAAGGGTTGTCCATATGCACACCTTGCCAAACATGAACAGTTTGTGGATCAAGCACTCTATTGATCACGATGCTATTTTACCTTTACCATGAAATATAAGAGTGACATCCTAAGTTTAGGGTGAAGGCTATTCAGTTCTGTGCTTCTCATAAGCCCAAAAATACCAGGTACACTGGCATATCGAAGACTTTCATGTTGCTCCCTGCAGAATCATAGAAAAGCCTTTCTATAATGCTCCGGGGGGAATCCTGTCCTTTGTCATGCCTATATTCAGTAAGGAGTTCTGTGTGTGTGTGTGCATGCATGTGTATGGTTATATATATCTGGATATATACTGTACACAGGCATTTAAACTGACAAGAATGGATTTGACTATCCATACATGAATTTTCATGAAATGTAAATAATTTGTGTGTTAAAATACACACACGTACACTAAATTTTAATTAAAACAATATCTATTATTAATTTGCAAAGAAAATTATAAGTGATGCTGAATTTTAAATACAGTTCTTTTTTCCCATTTCATAAAATGTGCCCATGGAAATTTAAAATCTCCTACTTTCCATAAACCAAGGAGTGAATCATGTCCATTTGGATTATCAAACCAAATTCTTCTTTTGGATATTCCAGCACATTGTGATATTGTTTGAAATGGTTTGGTTTAAATCCATATAAAGTTGAATTAACCTGAGTGGACACAGCTTGTCTGTACAAAAATTTCCTATTTGTGAGCTACATCTTGTGTAGTTAATATAATTTACAAGTTCTTTATCAGGGACTAGACCTGAACCTGTGTCTCCCTGCCCTGCCTTATTATTCCCACTCCCCAGCTCTGCATATGATGTTGTGTTTTAGCTTTACTGTCTGATTTTGATGCATTCCACAGTTTGCTAAAGTTTGTTTAAAAATACCACATAACGTTCCATAATATAACTAATCGCCGTTGTACTCCTGTTTACATACTATTAATAAACGTAACAAAAGAAGTTGTCCTTGGAGACTAAGCATCTGGAATCCTTGAAGATCCATAGTTTACAAATCCTTGAAGATTTGAAAACTCCAAAAAGGGAGTAAAATCTTTGAAACAGTCCATTACTGTTAAAAAGTAGCTCGTTGAGTTTTCAGTGCAGGATAAATTTATTCCTAAGTCAGCTACTCTGACAAAACAAAGAAACAAACAAAAAAAACCCAACCAAGCAAGCAACAGCAGCAACAACAACAAAAACAGATAAAGAAAACCAAAACCAGAAGAAAAAAATCCCCCCAAGCCCTCAAAAACTATGAGGACAGCCTGTCTTACAGATAGAATACCGCACTTTTAGGATTTTCAGAGGAGATTGCTACATAGAAGTCATCTGTACAGAGACTCCCTGATGTCTGTCCTGGACAGTGTTTCAAGGACATGCCATTCAATATACTATTTTGAAAAATTCATCCTGAGTAGATCCCAGTGCTAAACATGACAGGAAGAATATGTGAACTTCTTTTCCCCTAATATACGTTTGCAATCAAGCAACTAGCAGCAGACTGGATGAACAACACAGGGCAAGAATGAAGGCTTATTTTCTATTATATTCTACTGTAAGAAAACTTATGCTTTCAAATAAAGTTTCCCTGTGGGTAGGGAGGCACATGAAGTTTTGAACAGTTGAAGCCACAGCACACAGAGTACTGCGTTTGTGCTCAGTTTGTGGATCAGAATCAAAACAATCTGAAAGCCCAAAGGCATATCTGAGAGGATCTTGTTTTCCCCAGTTTGTAGCAGAACTACACTCCAGCAAAAATTGTCCACTTTTTTGTACTTATCCAACATACTATGATATAAATGAAAACATGACCTTTGTCTGAACATACTTTCTAAAAAGAGCCTATCCCCAAATCCTCACGTAGATCATGGGGAATCGCAGCCTGCAAAACTTTAGGAGGGAGTTGAGTTTGGAGAAAATTTAACTTCACTTACAAAAGGTTTATAAAATTATGTAATAAAACAACAGTTGCAGTTCTGTTCAGCATAATATATTCATCAGAGCAAAAGTCAAATAAATGCTTACTGAAGGTGAATTAACACATAATACCTAACTGAAAGGAAGTGACTCACACTTCTGCAAAGCCAGGTGCTAAGAGTTCCCTGAACGTTAGTAGAGAAACTTAAATTTAAAAGGATGTTTAACTCCATAACAAGTGTCTGTGTGCTTCTCAGGATTTGGTAAAATGGTATATCACCTCCTAGCATAACATATGTACTTATTTGAGAATTTGTGCTGCATTGTATGCAGTGACAGAGTGCAGAGCTCTCTGTTTGCTATAGTTATGCACCAATGATAAATTACAAGGGAATTTATTTTTGTACAAGTGAACAATCCTAAATGTAAATGTTTATTAGAACTTTTGTTACTGCCTCAATCAAAGGCATTAGTTAGCTTGCTATTATTGCTGTGCAGTAAATGACAGTTGGCCTCTATTTTACTTTTTATAGACTTGTTCTAAACATATGTATTTATGCTAACCAAACTTTTTATTTTAGTATTTTATCCCAGAATTTCTGCTGGTCTGGTTACCAGAAGTATTTGAATTTGTGAACAGATGGAGCAGGAGCTGTGCAAAGACTCTTCAACGTAGGCAAAGCTTAGAAGAGTCTAGATTTCTGTGCTTCTTGAGGCAGTGGAAACATCAAGTGCAAGAGGGAACAGACAGTACACCAGGAGTTTCTAGGCCATCCAAGCCTTTCTGCATGTGCTGATGGCTGAAGCATTATGAAGAAAGATTCTTCAAAAGATGGACAAAGGCAAAAGAAAGGACCATGTTCCTCATAGATATATGTGTCTAGGAATGGGTATAGAAGGCCATATCTGAGCTCTCAGGCTCAGAAAAGGGTCTGCTTGCTCTGAGTCCTCCTCCTGATCATAAGCATCTGAAACCACTTGCTAAATTTTGTCTTAGAATGACATTCTTCCTTCAGTAGGGTAATAGCTCTGCTTGCAGAACACAACAGTTTAACCTTTCAAGAGGACCAGCGTGACTGGGTTCAGACATCATAAATTAAGCCACGTAATTCAGCCATCTTTTTCTCTGGCTGCATCCTCTATGAGATTTAGGAAACGTTCCAAGCAATGCCACTTCAGAAAAACTTACCTTCCTAAATGAAATAGCTCCTTTAATTTATTTTCTCATGAAAAAACTCAGCTTATTGCAATCATCAGCAATCATTTATTCTGATAGTTGTTAATAGTGGGTTTTTAAATGTGAAACTTGTAGGATTGTTTGCCACTCAAATGGCATTTTGAGACAACCTGCATTATTAGTCCTCTTGTTCTTAGTGTCACACACATTCTGCTGTACCATCCAAGTAATGAATAGTATAATATTTCTTTATTTCACTTCCAAGCTGTAATCATGAGAGAGTTAAAAAAAATATAACCTTTGTACTCACCCCAGCCTTTGGTATAGCTCCAGAGCTGGCTGCTGAAGAGGGAGATGCTAGGTCAGGAGCATGAATGTTAGGAGATAAGTTTGTTTGTGATTGATTTACTGAAGCAACATCCACTCCACTTTCAGAACCAGATTCAACATCCTGTAAAAAAATATTGCAAGTCTCTTTAGTAAATGTGAACATGAAATAAAAACCTATTTCTGTTAAATAATGGAAACACTTAGGTAAGCTCACTTAAATAGATATGCTTAATTCTCTGTGTAAGAGTAATTCCCCTTACTCATTTCCATTAGCTACACATTCATTTGCCGTCCTTTTCAATGTGGTGATTTGCATTAGCTGCTATTCTGAAATTATAAATCACCACTAACATCAAAGCTATAATTCCCATAAATGTTAGAACTCAAGGTAAGAAAAATCAGTTTGGGGCTGCAGAAGTTTGACATTTTCCTCTGATATTCAGTATTTCCTGTGTTCTCCCACCTTCTGTCTCCGCAGCACTGCAAGCTAGTGAACATCTGTGAGCCATTACACAGCTGAAATGACATCACCATGCAGCAGTTTATACAATTCAGAGGTACAGCTCCCTAGTTTTTTTGAATCAGCACACACTTATTAGCCAAATGCTATTTTTGGTTCAAAATGCCCTTACTTTTAATGACACTGATTGCATTCCTCTCTTTGGGAATAAAAAGAAGATATATGGTATGTTTTATTGTTGAGGAAGTAAAAATATAGCACATGCTTGATTTACTGCATAGAGTGAGGGCGAGGGATTATACTGCTTGCAGATAAATTGCAATACATGTCTGGCAAAGACCTGGCTGTGTGTAGAACCAGCCATATACTGTCAGGATTGTTAGCTGAGGTGCAGCCTGCTGGAATACAACTACAGAGTACACAAAAAACCCCTGAACTATTATCTTCAGACGACTCTGTGCAGACAAAGGCCCAGTTTCCTAATGCCAGTTTCCTAGAACAGGTGAAATATGAGGCAGAGACATCTCAGGAGTTCTGCTCCTGAACTGAAAAGATACAGCACACTTTGGTTCATTAATTCCAGTTAAGTCTGTAGTCTGCCAAACTAAAGCCAATTAGACAGGTGTCTCTACACCGTGTACATGGGTATGTGGTTTTCTGAAAAGGGTTAGAAATTAGAAACAATGCTGCATTCTAGGTAGGAACATGTATTTGAGTCAGGTATTTCCTGCCAGTTAGTCCTCTGCTATGGGAAGCGTTGGGAAATGCAGAAGCATCATGGAAAGGCCTCTGTAGCAGTCAGTTTGGCTACAGCTGCTATTAGAATTTTCTGCTTAGCAGAACTATGCTGCCACAGTACAGAATCATGCTCCCTGCCCTGTCACCTATGTTTTTACATCACATTCAAATGCTTTGTTATGGTAAAATCAATACGAGCCTGAACTCAATACATAAATGCCCTGAAAACCAGATCTTTTGATCCTCTGATATATAATAATGAAAAGCTCAACAACCCCCTAGAAAATTAGTGTTTATAGATAGCATATATACCATGTTTGATGCAAGCTGTCTTTCTGCATGTCTGCTTTGCTCTGATTATCATGCAGGCTTATTTATACAGATTGCCTCAACTCACTTTATTGCTATAAGAAATTAGCCAAAATGCTGGCACAGATTGGTGAGATATAGAGAACAGATGTTAAAAGAGTATTTCAGCTTTCCTGTGTCATCAGTGCTCAAGGAGATACTGTGAGAACATTGATATCCATAAGGAACATGTGTAACCATTAAAAGAGAAATTATGTGATGTCCTTTAAAAATGCTATATTACAAAATCTTTACCTGATCAAACCCACTGAAAAATAAAACCAGCTTTTCCACCTATAGACCACTCACTTAGAAATAACAAAGTCTGTCTTTAATAGGAAAAACTCCTCATTATTTTAAAGAAAATATCACTAACAAAAGCAAATGACCTGAACGTTAGAGATCTTGGGGCAGTATTTCTCAGGTTTCTTGAACTGAAAAGCAGCTGCAGCACATGTGGGTGAAATTAACAGGAAGCCTGCAGGAGAACACCTTGGGTCAGCCATTTCATGTTCTTCATAGTTACATGTGTAAACATTTTACAGAAAAAAAGAGAATGCATCAGTCATGCTTGTGAGCTGTCCCGTCTCCTTTCAGACTATTCTCAGCAAAGAATTGTCCATTTAAGTAAATTTAAAAAAAGACATTAAAATAATTAAAGTGCACGTTTCTGCCTAGAATCTCACTTTGAGTGACAGAGCATTTTCTAAGCGTGTCTCCCACTAGCACAAAAGGAGGACCTGGAGCTCAGACTTACTTTCAGTTCTATTTAATGTCAAATGACACACACTCATATGTTCCGAGACTGGTGTGATCCTGACTCTGTGCTGACTCTGCACTTGCAGTAAGTGATAATGAAAGAGCCAGACATTTTCTGAACCTTGTTTATCTCCCTTTGTTTCATCTGGGACTTCTGAAGCTCTCATTTATGAAATGATGCCAAAAGAAAAGCATGGATGACAATATTACTGCCTTCAAAATATATATACATGCAAACAAAAATACAAGTAAAATTTTTTACAAAAGGAGCTTGGGTTCTGAAACCAAGGAGTTGATAAATGTGAGGACTGAAAGAAAAGTGAAGCAAGAAAGGATTCTACTCAGAATAATATGGAAAATTGAGCAAACTGGCTTACAGGTATATGCCTTCGTTTGTATGTTGGGGTGCTGGATGGGGAAGAGCCTGCACTGAGAGCATTTTCAATATCCTGGTCAAGCTGGTCCAGTTTCATAATTAACAGCACCATTGAATCCAGTCGTGAACGATCTCGATCTTCTGCTATTTCCTATGGAACGGAATAGAAACATACAATTAGTAAATCTGTTTCCTATGGAACATACTATTAATAAATCTCAAATGGCGATAATTGAAAGGAATAAGCTTAAATTATAAAAGCTGTATTTCTTAACTTGGCATGAAAGTTCATTGAATAATAAGCAGGTTTTGGGTTTTGTTTGTTTGTTGTTGTTTTGTTTTGGTTTGTTTTTCAAAATACTGCTTTATGTAATCAGTTTACTGATTATTGACTTACAGCTAGGAAAACATTTTATATTAATGTTTCATATTCATCCATTATGGTAAGTAAATTTTAAAAAAAGCACACTTTTTTAGCACAAACACATTACCATCTCTTGATACACATATGCGAATGCATGTGTAAAAAACATGAACAGCATCTTAGATCCTCTGAATGGAAAGAGAGAAGGATGAGGGGTATTCACATCACAGCCTCAAACACCTAGCTTATTGCAGCTGATTTCCTGATTTCCTCTGTAGAAAATGGAGACAAAGATCTTCAAAAGAACAACTCAAAGCAAGATTTTAAGTTAGATAGACTAAATAATGCTCTTAAGGAGATCCTCTCTCTATTTCCCTCTTATAGAGAGTTAACACAAAAGTTAGCCAACTAGCCTGCCTCAAAGCCCTACTGGTTCCTGTACAGATTTTCACAATAGTAAGTTAGAAAATAGGAAGTTCCATTAACTCACTTGAAATAATTCTTTTTATAAATCCTTCTCAAGAAATGGAAGCAAATACATTATAATTACATCATAGTGCCCAAGAAGTAGGCAATATAATTGTCCAAATCAGCCTTTTTTTGATAGTCTCTAAATTGTTTTTCAGGTTGTGCAGAGACTTCTCTAGTTAGGATTCTATTAGCAGGGTTATTATAGACTGCTTCAAAGACATTGCAAAACATGAATCATATGATTCCTGCTAGAATTAAAGCTTATTTAAAGATAAGATAGTCATAGAAACCATGGCATACATGGTATTTATGTGAAGGCATAGGTGAAAAGTTAGCTAAATAAATCTTAGAAAAGCAGAAATACAAATCTGTCAGTCCATAGCAGAATAATGAACAACTTACAACACAAAGCTCAAACCCAGGAAAACTGTGTATTTAATTTTTTATTACAACTTGATATTTTGCATTGGGTTGCTGAAAAAGCTGATGAATTTTCAAGACCTCCTGATGAATCTGAACTTAGTTTAGAATGATCCTGAAAGAATATTACCTCAAAATAACTTGGAAATCAATGAAATGTATTAAGTTTCACTTTCTTTCAAACTGAAAACACAGTGTCCCAAATGATTCATTGCAACTCCACGGATCTTCATTTTAATTGATGTTAAATTGATATCTGAAGTTTGCAAATGTCCAAACATTTATTTAATCTAATTTCTATGGGTACAGAAAGCCCAGTGAAGTAACTAAGTGTCTGCTAACAAAGTAGATATGACCTCCTCTGAGGCATGGGGCCATGTTACCATGGTGAGCAAGACCTCAGTGGGTTTACACATCCAGAGTGTGCCAGTGCTACTACCAAAACTAGACTCCTCATCCCCTATCTCTGTTTTTATTTCTGTTGGTTTTGCTTGTAAATACAGCACTGTAAAGGCTAAGCAAACTAAAATTTACACTTAACTTAAAAACCACTGCCATACCACAACAAAGGAAGAGGTGGTGTCTGGGTGGTGTTTTTTTAGTTTCCTTATTTTGTGGTTGGTTTTTGTTTTTCTTCTTATCAGACTAGAAAGATAAGAGACATTTTACTGAAGAAAAAAAATAAATCAGGAATTTTCCCCAAGTAAATTGTTTGATTCATCCTGCCAATATAGAATAAACTTGCTCCGCACGTAGCAGATTGAAAATGTTGGAAAAGAATCTGCTGAAATGAAGACATGGCAAAATATTGTTCAAAGTGATACTCAGGCTTGACACAATGTGCTGGCTTTGTAGGTAAACACTGTTTTCCATAAAACAATAATATTATCAGTATGGAATTTAGCTGTTCTGTTTAGAAGTCTTAACTTTGTGGTTCTAATTGCTGTTCACATCAATATGAAAAATTTAACATTTTAAGTATGGTTTCTATTTTTAAAATGTACTTAACAAGACAATAATCACCTTCTGTTTTGCCAGGGCACTATCAGTGTGTATACATGAAAACCTAAGCAATATATAAAAAATGTAACACATACAAATAAAAAAAGGTTAATCTTTAGTTGGAAATTCATCACAACACACAGAACCAATATTTTTATAAGATTAATTTATGTTTATACAGTTTTAGCCTTGATATTATCTAATAAATTTCTGAGAGCTTTATAACCTAGTTATCTTTTTTGTATCTCCCTTTTGTGTGTACTCTGAGATTTTATTACTGAAGTGTGATATGATCTAAAGTCAGCAAGGTAGTAGCAATTCATTTGGGTTTTCTTGAAAACACAGTATTTTCTTTGCTTGCATTCTTTTGCATTATTCCCCACTGATGGCTTCTCACCTTCCAAATTAGGACCCCAAAATATAAATTATATTTATAGGATTATACAGAAATCCTACCTTTACCCTTTTGAAGTCAAAACTTGGGCATTAGAAGATGCCTGGTCAAAGACTGCCCTTACAGCCATAATTTCTGCCTTAAGGCATTGGACAATTCAGGAATGCGTCACAAACATAAACAAGTAGGTCAAACTGGAGACGTTATTTGTCTGGAGATTTTATT